TTAAACGGCCAGCCGGGAGCTTTGCATTCAAGCGATCGCTTATATTAGCTTGAGGTTTCCCCTCCCCCCTCCTGTCACTGCCCGGTCCCGAGATCCGCTGTGCCTGGTGCGGCGGGGATCGGCATGGCTGCTCTGTGACAGGAGATCAAAGGGAGGTCAGTAGACGAGCTCCCTCTGATCTCTTCTCTGATCCCCGAATGCAGGAAGTGATGTATATTACATCACTTCCGCATTCAGCTGTCCTTCCCAGCTGATGAAGCAGATCTCTAATTCATCAGCTTCTCTGGGGGTCCCTTGGTGACAGGTCTTGGAGACCCCTGATGTCTCCATAAAGAGGACCTGTCATGTAAATTGGTCTATTGCATAGAGAGCTTCTTAGCCCCGTATGTGATATCAATAGTTGTTTAAAAAAAAGAGTAATAAAAAATTAAAGAAGCATGAAAACATTTTTTTTTTTAAAATACATTTTTCTTAAGTCCCCCGCCCCCCACATACGCAAACATGTGTCGGGTGCGCCTACGTGCGAAAACTAACATTGTGCCACATTTGTTCCATTTTACGTGACCCCTTTTATATTTTACCAAAAATATGGGCAAGAATAAATGTTTAACATAACGTAGGGAAAACTTTAGGCAACACACTACCATTGCCAAAAATGGTGCATGCCTTTTCTTTTTTTGGGACGTTTTGTTGCGCTGCCAGGCTTTTCATTTGTAGCTCTTTTTATTAAAGATTACCAAAGAACAAAATGACAGATGTATATGTGAAACAAAATAAACTGAGTACACTCTGGTACGTAGGAATAGTAAAAAACATCAGAGCTTTCATTTGAATGAGCCACCTTAATGCAGTGCATGTTATCACACAAGAAAAAGCATGTAAATGGGGTTGCCAAGTCTGAATGGACTCTAACGGTAACCTTATTTTATATTTTTAAGTTCTGTAGGCTTTGGTACCTTTTTAAAGAAGAATGCCATACAAAACTTTTATTAACCTTTGCAGTGGGACTACTCGCTGCACTGCATGGCATAACTGCTCGTTTTGGTCTAGGGAGGAAAATCGTTATACTTGCCTGATCCTCTGATGTAAAAAAAGACTACAATAAGTGAGAAAGCAAAGAATGCACAGCAGACGTTGCATGTAGAACATTTTATAGACAGGCTTGTGTCTACTTTACAGAGTAGCTTCCATTCATCTATAAAACATTGACGTCCTTTCTCATGCCGTTACAAGCACTGCATATGCTGTATATACGTTTCTAAGGCAGTCATTAGCTGCTGAATGTGCTTCCATTCCATCGACTTTACTTCTGACCTCTCTTGACCAGCTCTAGCTTTATAAGTTTAAAACGCTTTTTTTCCTCTGTGGCTGACAGCAGGGATCAGAAAATCTGTATGCGCTGTGCTTTTGTAGCAATCTCCATGGCATTAATTCACCAGACTCCTGGCACTTGACCACATTTTCTATTGAGATAGGGCCTCTTTTTCAGTGTTTGATAGTATGAAAGAAAAGCAATCTGTGTTTCGGTGCTTCACATGTGCAGTCACTTTTAGATAATCAGTTGCTAAGGATTATGGGATTAGTCTGGTGGCATATGGAATGCAGTTTTTTTTTTCCCCCTGAACAGCAATTCAGAAGTAAATTCTTTAATATTTAACATGCAAACTCATCAGTTTATATTGTGCATTTTTTTTGTGAAAAAAATATTCCAGATTTTAACATTCCAAAACAGATTTAATATCTTTATAAAACTTAAAGGAAGAATAGGAAATTTGCCCATAGCAACCAATCAGTTCCTTTTCAGTTTGTAACTATGTGGGCCTGGTATGTCGGAAATGGGGAGAGATCAGCTGCAGGGAGACCACCAGCAATACTGGTGACTAGTCATTGTCCGCTACTCTCCTGTTTTGGACATAGTTTCATAAGTTTAGTTCTTTAAGGCCAGGTTCCCAATAGGGAGATCCGTGACCGCGCCACAATCGTGCACGAAACCGTGCGCTTGGCCACGCGCTCACAGAATCGCACACCTCTGCTAATCGCGCTGGCGGTGCCATTATTTTTTTAATGGCACCCCTGCCGTGCCAGGCAGTTCGCTCGTTTTCCTGTCGCAATACCACCTGTGCAATCGCACACGATCGTGGTTGAAAGAAAATGTGCGGTGGGTGTTGCAAATAAAGGTACATGTACCTTTTTTTTTCAGAGGTTTTTTTTTTTTTTTTTTCTCCCCCATTGCGGATATAACCCCATTAAAATCAATGGGGCCGCATGGCAATTGTGTATATGTGAACCTTGTAGCAACCATACAAGTTAGAACACCCCACCCCCTCCCAAAAAAAATTACTTTTTTTTTTGTCTTGCTCCTCTGCTTCTGCCCCGGGTGCTGAGGTGAGGGTGACATTTTGGGCCTTCTGGTGAGATCCTTCTGTGATCACTGAGGATCCAAAATGTTGTGAGAAGACGTGACATGTGAGATTTTGGATCCCCAGGATCTCTGCAGAAGCCCCTTGACATCACCTAGGCACTGCTGACACTTGCTGATGTGCAAGGCAAGTTTTTTATATTTTGTGGGGTTTTTTGTTTTTTCCTCACATTTTTATAAAGAGGCAAAAGTCAAATAAATGAAGCGTGTATTTTAGTGTAAAGTTTGCTTTAAAGTTATAAAGTCAAAAGGTTTTTACGCTATTTCAAATGCTGATTAAATATCTGACAATGGATGCTGCTTCTTGATGTTTCAAAGCTTTAGCTTCTGCAGAATCAGCTTGTCCTGATATCCTACTTTAGGGCCGGTTCACACCACAAATTCCACGTTCCAGTCGATTTTGGCCTTTGGAACGCAGTCAGCTGGCTTCCTGCGTTCAGGGGTGTGAGGGTTTGTGGCAGTGCATTGAAGTCAATGGCACCACAGCCATGCCCGCAGTGCAATCGCCCAGTATTTTTGCAGATCGCACTGGACCAGAACGCAGGCACTAATGTGCCTGCGTTCCGGGGGCGGGCGATTGCACTGCGGGGGGCGTGGCTGCGGTGCCATTGACTTCAATGCACCACCACGCCCCCTCCCGCCTGTGAACACGGGGCTGGCTTGCGTTGCAGAGGCCGAACGCACTGGAACGTCTGGTTTGTGGTGTGAACCGGCCCTTAGGGTGGCTTCTTTCCCTTGCAGGGTCCGATGAAGCCACCCTTGTGTGTCGCTACACAAATACAAGCAAAGCAAGCTACTCCTGGCTCCCTGCTCCTCCTTCCTCTCCACTCTTCTCCAGTCTTCTCGAGTCTAGTAGATGGGTAGCTTTTGGAGACTGCTGTCCCTTGTGATTTGTACTTGACTAGAAGTTCAGGGAAGCTGAGCTGAGGAAATTGGAGCTGTTCAGAAACCTAAATGGGTAAAAATGTAAAGAAATACTTTGCTGCACAATGTGAATTTGTTTGAACTGGATTCATTATAGAAAAAAAAGATAGAGTTTAATACTACTTTAAGCAGTTAGGCAAAGTGTTTGATTTTAGACGGGCTCCTCTGAGTTGGCAGCTGCCAGAGGACACATCGGGGATCGCAGACAAGGGAAGACCTGTACGCTGTATTCCAGAGTGTGGCTCGGGGGTTACCGCTTTGTTAACCCCGATCCACACTCGGGAATGCCAATGTAAACGCGTGGCAAAATGCCCCAAAGAAGCTCCTCTACTTTGGGTGTAGGGTGTTTTTGCAGCGTGTTCCTACGTGCTGTAAAACACCCAGGTGGGAACCATGCCCATAGGCATTCATTGGTTTTCACACGTTGAGCGTTTTACAGGGCGTAGGAACGCGCTGTAAAACGCCCAGGTGTGAACCAGGCTTAAGTGCTAAGATTGTTGATTGCTGACCTTTTAGTAGGATGTTTTATTCTTTGAAAATGTCAACTGAGTAAATTGGCATTTTCACACTGATATTAAAACAAACTTCATGACTTTTTCTTACTCTACTCTAATATTGTCTGCATGTATTTTGTGTATGTGAATTAAAACAAATATAAAGTATGTATCTGAGAAGAGGTTTGTAAGTGTGAAACTTGAAGGAGCTTTGTTCTTGTTTAATGAACGGAGGAGGAAGTTTTCCATAGTCTGTTCCATTCTCCATGTGTCCTGTTTAAAGATGTAGGGGCTTTATTGGGTAATGGTTGCCACTGCCCTTCCTGTTTGAGGGCTTGTTCACACCATGTCCAGACCAGAACGGTTTGTTCCTGGACCAAAAAAAGCATACCAATTTATCCCTATGGTGTTTATGGGCTCTGTCCACACCTGCGCAGTCTGTTCCGGACCAGACACAAAATAAATACTGCTGGTCTCATTTTCTCATCTGGAATGCATGGAAACATATACAAATGCATGCAAAAACACTGGAACGCACATCAAAGCCCATTTTAAGGTAAAAAAACAAAACCGCTCGAACGAGGTAAACTCACGGCAAAACACAATGCTTCGCGTTCCAGATCTGGTCCGGAAAATGGTGTGAACCTGGCCTCAAGGTCACCACACACACATTACAGTCTGACTGTACAATCTCCTTTAGATCTACCAACAACTATAATGTAGGGGCCTGACTGGATATAGGTTGAGGTAGGTCCTCGTATTACGTAGTTTTGGTAAATCTAAAGTTGAATGTACAAAGTTTGTACGGTCAGATTGTAATGTGTGTGTCCGAACCCTTATCAAGGCCTACAAGTAGTTGCAGCATTTTTTTTTTTATAGTGGGTCACATTTGTGGGAGAGTAGAGCTGTTTTTTTAAGTCATGTAACTCATCAATGAAATTAACCTTTGCAGTAATGACCTCTAAAGCCATTACCACCTACAATATCCTTAGACAGGACATCAGGAATAAAATCTGTCACCAGAACAGCAATTTTATGTAAACCAAGTTGCTGCTTATTCCCCACTCTAGACTTTTGTGGCAATTTGTCATATATTATACAGGGAGTCTCTTACAAAATGTGAAGGTTTAACTAACTTTTTTTTTTTTTTCTCCTTCTTTTAGAACCACCGGGCTGATCCAGAAGAGTTGTTCACAAAACTTGAACGCATTGGAAAGGGATCTTTTGGAGAAGTTTTTAAGGGTATTGATAACCGGACTCAGCATGTGGTTGCTATAAAAATCATAGATCTGGAAGAGGCAGAAGATGAAATAGAAGATATACAGCAAGAAATAACAGTTCTTAGTCAGTGTGACAGCCCTTATGTGACAAAGTACTATGGATCCTATCTCAAGGTATGTTATGTTATGATATATATATATATATATTACTGAGTGTGGGATAAGAAGCTTTCTCTCACAATAGGTGGTGTGCTGTGATCTCAGAGCACAAATGGTATTGTTTATCTCCGGAGTTGCACAATTTTCAAGTAATCAAAGTTTCCATCTGGTGCTGTTTATTTCATGAGGCCCACTTTCTCAGCTAGTCATAGTAGGCTTCTGGATTTTAGGTTTAAAGGTTCCCCTGAGTATTTTAAATATTACTACATGCTTCTACACTTCTGTAAATATTCCTCCATCAGCTTGGGGTTGTAGCTGACATTTGCTTATTCACAAGGTCAAAGGGGGAAAAGCAAGGTTTGTTTACGGATATTAGCCCAGTGACTTTCTTAATGTTAGGTTTATTTTAAACAATATTCCCAGGGAAGATGCAATGGCCTGGTCAGTAAGATACCAGTGTTAAAGGGAGAGAAATTTGCATCTATATTTCACCTGCAATAGCCACATTTAGGTGGGAATCGACAAAAGTGGCCCCTCTGTTTCTGGGAGTATTAGGGAAGTAGTTAAGCCCCCATTTTACTACTGCAAGGAGATTCATATTTTACATTATTTGTCATGTATTTTCACACGGATCCCTTTCAGCTACCCTCGAAGAGTCATGGATGGTTTCACTACACTCAGAAGGCAGCATATTCACTTTCATCACTATGTATTACATACAGCAAGGAAAAGCTAAAAGTATTTGTCAGCTGTAGTTCTGTATTGTCTTTATGTCCACAATCTAAATGTTTTTTTTCTCGCACCATGTAGACCTGCGTTCTGCACAGTCTCATCACTAGGACACATAGAAAACATTTGTTTTCTATGTTCCCTGTTCACAACACTATGTTGGGGTGGGTTCCAGTGCATCTTTTGGTGACATTACAATAAAGTTTACAAAAAGAAAAAAAAGATGAACTGTGCCTTGTGCAAGACACTGCCCCTCCACTGCTACAAAATGGATACCAGCCTAACCAAGACTGGATGAGACTGCCACATTTCAGTAGAATCCAGTTGAAGCTTGTCAAATGATATAAAACCACCCAACTGCATTCCTTCTACACCCTACTGTCAGTGGAAGGAGCCCAAAGGCCCATTCACACCAATGCACACATGGAAACACATGCTTAGGTGTGAATGGACTAGCAGAGTGTCCCTTTAAGCGGCCACATAGGAAAGAATACGTTTTCTACTAGAAATTTTCATGCAATAAAGGGTCTCTGACCGCTTAAAGGGACACACCCAAGCATGTGTTTCCATGTGTGCATTGGTGTGAATTGGCCTTTTGGGCTCCTTCCACTGACAGTAGGGTGTAGAAGGAATGTAGTTGGGTGTAGAACTCTGGAAAAGGACATTCTTGTATTGTAAAGACCACCAACACTAGTGGATAGTCTGTCAGGTTATAAGGCGGATTTGGTTATGTGGTTTTATATCATTTGACAAGCTTTAACTGGATTCTACTGAAGTGTGGCATTCTCATCCCATCTTGGTTATCAGATCTGTGCGTCTTAGAAATAATGGTTGAGTAGTATAAATTGAATGATCTCAGGAGCTACTTGATATTGGTTTGTCTATCTGGGATGTACCATCCTCATAGAAAGTTGTAGATGAAAGTGCAGTGTACTGAAAATACACCCTCCAGCTTCCATTCACAAGCCAACATCAGAATATGTAAGTAAAAGAAGAGCACCACTCAGATGCTTTTTATTACTCCAAGCAGACTTCGCAGAAATACCACTCTGTCAGTGCGGGGCACTCTATTGAAACATAGAACATTTTTGGAAATGCAGATATGCTAAAAGCAAAGGGAAGAAAGCTTGTATGTGGCATAGTAAGAACAGCGGCAGTGATCTGATTTTTAATACCTTTTTTTTTTGTGTGTGTCCTGGCAGCCTGGCTGCCATCTATTGGCATCGCTCTCCCACTTGTTCTCCTGTAAAATGGAAAACATCTCTAATGGATAGAGCCAACCTGACATTCACACTGGAAAAATGTGAGAATCTGATGGGGCTTCTTAACACTCTTGTAATCATTAGCTGTCACTTGTGGACCAAAACTTCAGCAGACAGCCCTGTAATTTGGAAAAGTTCATGTTTCTACAAAGGCTTGCTTGTGACTAATGTTGAAATTTCTAAAATTAGAAAGGTTTTCTGTCTCAAATATTTCCTTATTTATCTTTGTCACAAAAGTCATTGGTATACAAAGAGTACGAACAGAGCTGTGAACACCAGGCCAAACCCAATGCTGGCAATGTGCTTGCTGTGGCGAAATGACCGCGATCATTTATAATGTCTGGCAGAAAATTAAAGGTGTGCTCCGCTGTAGCCAGTTAGATTCCAGCTATCTAGTGCCGCTTAGCAAATGAAAGCAAACAGCTGGTGGTTTTGAGCAGCAGCACTGGCTTTAGATTGTGGGGTCTGTTTTTTTTTGTTTGTTTTGTTTATTTACGAGAGCCCCAATGGTAACCATTTTTACAAGCCTACTCCATATTCTGCTTTATTAATATTTTGTTTGAAGCCTTTATATTTCGCATGAGCTCTTGTAGGCAGAAGTCTTTGATGCTGTTAACCTTCTAGAGTTTGAAGGACAGCTCCAAATACTACTTTTGGATGTGTTAACCCTTGCACTCTATGCAGAAATTAACGTTGTGCCATCTGTGTCCCGATTTAGGGATATTCCCCCCCTCCAGTTGTCCTGGTGACCATAAGCACTGAAAGGGAAAGATACCTAATTTTGGGTTATCAGAACAGGAATAGATGGGGGAACACTAGTTCTGATCACCAGGGATTTACCTCTCTATGTTGTGGCTATAAAGGTGCCCATACACTGTACGATTATCGTATGAGAATTGCGGTAAATCCTGGGATTGTACGATAATCGCAAAGTGTATGGAAGGCATGCAACAGTTTCTACTGTACGGTTGCACGTCTTCCGTCGAACAAGCAGGCTGGAAAACCCGTCGGGAATTGTACGATTCTCGGCGAGTTAGTGGCCTGCTTGTTCGACAACTGCCGTTTGCAGTCATCGGAAGCCCGCCCCTCATTGCAGTCATCGGAAGCCCGCCCCTCAGGGCAAGTACGATCTGCCTGTCCAAGATGGGCAGATCGTACGTTTTTTTAATTACTTTACAACCCTCGCAAGACAAAAGTCTTGCCAGGTTGTAAAGTGTATGGGCACCTTAAGACGGAAAGTGAAGGAAAATCTCCCAAATGGGACACACATGGCACAAATTTGATGGGTTATAAGCCTACCTGAGCAAATGTTTTAAATTAATTTCCACTTTAATTTTTAAATGAATATGTAAGGTTACAGGCTTCCGAATGCACCCTGCCTGTGGTTACTGGGACATTCAATGAGCTGTATTGTCCCAACAGCGACACAGCAAAAACAACAAACTAACCATTTCCCATTCTATGCAAGCCCAAAATACAAGTTTTAGGCTGGTGTAAATCATTCATTGGATTTGCTAGTGTAATGGACAAAAGAAAAGTCTCTTTAATATAACATAATGCTGTTGTATGTCTTATTGATTTATGAAATGTACACTGTGATAGGTCCACTAAGACTAAAGGTTGAAATTTTCTGAGTTCTCTTTTTAGGCATTTGAATCTTAACCAGGTTTTGTGTTTGCATATTTGGAATGTTCAGAATAAGGGTAGTGATGTGCAAAACAGGTTGTTTTTGTGCCATTGCATATACCATTGTAATCATTCAATACCTGAGCAGGGAAGGGGAAGTGTTCTTTCCAAGGCTGTTCTCAGAAATCAAATGCAATTTATAAATCATCCCATCTCCAGCCAAAATGTTTTTTCTAGAGTTGGGGAGAGTGAAGTGTTAGAACACTTGCCATTTTTTTTTTTTTGTTTGGTGTCTGACTTTCAAACAAGAAGTGACCACATTTCTCCAGGCGGTGCACAGACAGCAAAAAAGTGTGCGGGTTTTTTTTAAATGGTAAATTTGTGAAGGCTTCAGGGCCCATTGACACCAGCTCAATGCAAAGATTGAGGTAGTTTGTCTCACTTACGGTCAGCTCAGTTTAGACCACTGGATTGTGCTAAAAAAAAGTACTTTTCTGTTCCAGGGAAAGCCCTTCACCTTATTTCATATAATGCTGTCACAGGGGCTTAAAGTGAAATCTCATAAGTGTTGTGGACAGCAATAGAAACTGTGCACTAGTATTTACTCTTTTCTAATTCAATTGTTTTTTTTCAGACCAGGAACTTAACAAGTTCTTCTCTTCTAGGGTACAAAGCTATGGATCATTATGGAGTATTTAGGTGGAGGCTCTGCACTAGACTTGGTGAGTATAATGGAAATTACTTGCTTAACAAATACATCTGGAGGCCAGCAGAATGTTTCCTTCTCTCCTCTTCACCCATCCACCTTCCAGTGTACACTGGAGGGGTGGTGGGCTAAAAGTTATATTCACCCTGATGGCTTCAGAAATTGCGTTTTAAAAGCATCGGCTGCTGGTGTATCCTAAAATGTTGGTCCTTTTAGCTGTGCCCCAACATTACCCAAGTAAATGTTGGCATAGAAAACCATGTATCTTTACATTAGGCTGTTTTATTGAAGTCATAGTTTTTATGTGTAGTGAATTATGACAATATTGCAGTTTAACAGTCAACTTTTACCCATGGCTTTGCATTTGCCACGGAAGGTACTTCATTATAGCCATATCAGAAGTATCGCTGGAAAGAAGGGAGGTCATGTTCTATATATTTTTGTGAATAATGCTTATATATGTGTATATACAGCAAACTGTCATCTGGTATTTAACTAACCAGAAAAAAAAATCTCTTTTGTACTCGCTGAACTGCGGCATGTATTATATTGGAAACTGTTGTGTGCCTATTTGTCTTTGCTTTTGATTACTGCGTTTCAATATTTAATATGAAGTCAATAAAGAGTTTATGATACAGTATAGTACGGGGTATGGCATTAGTTTAGACCTATTTTTAATGGTAGCTTTTCAAGCATCCAGAAACTACATTTATCCGGAATTTACCAATCCCTGTTGATGCCGGATAACGGGACGGGGAGTTTACTGTATCTGGCGGAGTGTTTGTCAAGTCAATGGGCAGGGGGTGGAGGGGGGTGACTGGAATGATCAGGGAAGCACTTTTAAAACTTGGGTAAACAGGGAAGCACTGTCCTCCAGCAAAGGTATGGTAATTGTTTTCCATTTGTTAAGGCTTTTTATTTTTGGATTATGCTTGAAGTCAACCCTTTATCCAAAACTGGCTTTAGATGCATTTGATAATAGGGAATTCTAACCTGCGGGCGGATGTAGAAGTGACAGTGTGGCTGTAAGCCAGAAAACAGAGTTGGCTGAGAGATTGTAAATGGAGCTGCAGCTAACGATTATTTTCAAAATCGATTAGTTAGCCGATTTATTAAGTTCGGTTAATCGGATTAAAAAAAAATCAATTTTTTTTTTTAAATGGCTCCAGTGATGGTACTACTAGTTTGTATTGAGATTGTAGTCCATCACAGGAGCAAGCTTGGATCGGTGGAAGTAAAAAAAGAGAAAAAAAGTGTGGTGTACAGTATAGTGAAATTAAAAGTGTAAAGTTATATAGTTATATAGTTATATATGAATGCAGAATGGCACCGGCTATAGAGGACTACAAATCCCAGCAATACATTATACAGCGCAATGCAGAATACCACCAGCTATAGAGGAATATAACAAATCCCAGCAATAGTACATTATAGCTAATGGTATTCTGCATTGCGCTGTATAATGTAGTATTGCTGGGTGTTGTAGTCCTCTATAGCGAGTGGTATTCGGCATTGCACCACTGTATAATGTATTATTGCTGGGATTTGTGGTACTCTATAGCTGGTGGTTTTCTGCATTGCGCTGTATAATGTATTTTCCCTTGATTTGTAGTCCTCTTTACAGCGCAATGCAGAATACCATTAGCTATAATGTACTATTGCTGGGATTTGTATTCCTCTGTAGCTGATGGTACATTGTGCTGTATATCATACAGCACAATGTACCATCAGCTATAGAGGAATACAAATACATTATAGAGCACTATGTGTGGGAAAGTGCAGGCTTACCTGAGCAGTCTTCCAGCAACTTGTTTCTGAGATCGGCGTGCGGCGTGTGGGCGGATCTGGCAGAGGCGAGCGTGAGGTGAGGAGGTGTGGCGCGCAGTGTGTGGAGCCGTGAACAGGGCCAACCAATCGGAAACCGATTAATCGATGATTGAAAAAGTTGACAACTTTTTCAATCATCGATTATGTCGATTAGTTGTTGCAGCCCTAATTGTAAACCAACTCCCTGCTGTTATAGCAGTCGGGAGTCTGTTTAAGGCAACCTGCTGCTACGGATATAGTATTTCCACACCGTACTACACAAAAAGTAGATTTATATCCTTTGTGGTTATTGAGCAATATATTTAAATCAAAATGTGTGCCAGAGTTTAGCTTTAACGTTCCTGTTCACACATTTTCAAGGATAATCTGTCGAGCAAATAGTTCTTATGTCATTTAAGTTTTTGTAGCCTGCCAGTGTGTTTCTTTCTGAAGGCAGCTTGCATAGGACATATAGGATAGGCAGTTTGCATAGGGCATATAGGATAGGCAGCTTGCATAGGAAATATAGGATAGGCAGCTTGCATAGGACATATAGGATAGGCAGCTTGCATAGGACATATAGGATAGGCAGCTTGCATAGGACATATAGGATAGGCAGCTTGCATAGGACATATAGGATAGGCAGCTTGCATAGGACATATAGGATAGGCAGCTTGCATAGGACATATAGGATAGGCAGCTTGCATAGGACATATAGGATAGGCAGCTTGCATAGGACATATAGGATAGGCAGCTTGCATAGGACATATAGGATAGGCAGCTTGCATAGGACATATAGGATAGGCAGCTTGCATAGGACATATAGGATAGGCAGCTTGCATAGGACATATAGGATAGGCAGCTTGCATAGGACATATAGGATAGGCAGCTTGCATAGGACATATAGGATAGGCAGCTTGCATAGGACATATAGGATAGGCAGCTTGCATAGGACATATAGGATAGGCAGCTTGCATAGGACATATAGGATAGGCAGCTTGCATAGGACATATAGGATAGGCAGCTTGCATAGGACATATAGGATAGGCAGCTTGCATAGGACATATAGGATAGGCAGCTTGCATAGGACATATAGGATAGGCAGCTTGCATAGGACATATAGGATAGGCAGCTTGCATAGGACATATAGGATAGGCAGCTTGCATAGGACATATAGGATAGGCAGCTTGCATAGGACATATAGGATAGGCAGCTTGCATAGGACATATAGGATAGGCAGCTTGCATAGGACATATAGGATAGGCAGCTTGCATAGGACATATAGGATAGGCAGCTTGCATAGGACATATAGGATAGGCAGCTTGCATAGGACATATAGGATAGGCAGCTTGCATAGGACATATAGGATAGGCAGCTTGCATAGGACATATAGGATAGGCAGCTTGCATAGGACATATAGGATAGGCAGCTTGCATAGGACATATAGGATAGGCAGCTTGCATAGGACATATAGGATAGGCAGCTTGCATAGGACATATAGGATAGGCAGCTTGCATAGGACATATAGGATAGGCAGCTTGCATAGGACATATAGGATAGGCAGCTTGCATAGGACATATAGGATAGGCAGCTTGCATAGGACATATAGGATAGGCAGCTTGCATAGGACATATAGGATAGGCAGCTTGCATAGGACATATAGGATAGGCAGCTTGCATAGGACATATAGGATAGGCAGCTTGCATAGGACATATAGGATAGGCAGCTTGCATAGGACATATAGGATAGGCAGCTTGCATAGGACATATAGGATAGGCAGCTTGCATTGGACGTATAGGATAGGATAGTCAGCTTGCATAGGACATATAGTATAGGCAGCTTGCATTGGACGTATAGGATAGGATAGGCAGCTTGCATTGGACGTATAGGATAGTCAGCTTGCATAGGACATGAGCTGCACATCCATGATGCATAAATGTAAGATGTCTCAATTTTTGTGTAGGTGTGATTGCTTTTTTTCTGCACAGTTGTGGATATTTGTAGCTATTTTATAATGTAAAATCATGTTAGGCACCAGTGTGCAGGGGTTTTGCTGTCCAAAAGCTATAGTTCTATGACTTGGTTACACTTGTAATGTAGCCAGTCCTTAGAATCTGACACTGCCATTGACATGACTAATAATCATGCCTATCCATATGTTTTTTACTATATTGTGACTTTCTATGTTATTAGACTGTTAAACTTCCTCAGTTTCCTGCGGTTGCGGTATGTTTATAGAATGAAGGCTTAAAGTGGAGAAACGTAGCTGTTTGGCTAACGTAGCTGACACCTATAAGAACACAGCATATGCTTGTTTATAGCAAAATACATATGTTCTGAGTGATGCTGCTCTGAGTCATGTCGTTTCCTCGGAGCCCATAGCCATGCTTCTCTGTGAATGGGAAATGCTAAGCATTTTAAACATGATACAAATCAGCTTTTCAGCAGCTTCTACTTTCCGTACTTCAAGTCATAGAACATAAAGTAGACTTGTCTGGTTTGAATAAGGGCTGCAAGAAGACAGCATTATGTGTTTGTTCCGTGCTTGTTCCAGTAAGGCCTTGCCAGTTGCTCTTTTTAAAGACTGGAAAGGAAGCTCAGTGAAGTTTATAGTTTGTTTACAGGGTGTCTATTTCCAGGGGCTGGTCCAACCCTACCTGTGTGTCATAAAGAGCCTCTTTCACGGCTGCCTCCAGTATGTGTCGAGTTTTTCTTCTTGAAAGACCATAGCCGTCATTTCCTGCCTCACAGTGCTTTGGTGTATCCAGGTCTTTATTGAACACAAGCCTCCTTTATACATGTTCATGCAAGCCAGGGAAGCTCAGAAGTTCAGAGCACACAAGTCTTTTTGTATATTTTGTATTTAACAGAGAGGATGACTGCCATGCTATGTTTCCAACCATGCTTTGCCCCTTTCTGCAGTTCGTCTGAAATGTTAATATTTTTATGTAAATGTTAAGTGATATTACTTACAGGTGGTCCCTTGTGTGACTTTAATCCCTTGTGTGACTTTAATCACAAAATTGGTGAGGTCTCCCTACCATACACATTTTCCTTCTATTTGCCCCTGAGCCCCCCCTACTTGTTTTGCAGCTACACAGTTGCGTTCTTCGTGTTCTGAAAAATGTGAATTAAGAATTGAACCCACTTTTACTGGACACGCTAACTAAATGCTAACAACTTTACAAGTCCTAAAGAGATATAGATTAAGCCTCTGAGGTGACAATTTTCTGACCCAAAGGTCAATGATGCGTAGATGCCCAGGTCAAATCTAGCAGGGCCAGCATGGGTCGGTTATTTTAAGGACATATATAGCTTTTATTTGGAACATCGATTGAACTAAATCCTTCTGTTTTTATATCCTTCTTTTTTTTTTTTTTTTAAAAGCTGAAAGAATATTACATTACTAATTTATATTTTTTGCAATGATTGACAATTGCACCAATAAATTGATGGTACTGCAGGTGCTTTGACAGCTGGGATTGAGAGCTACCTGCTGTGCAAAGTGATGGCTGGTGGCTCTCAAAAGGATGGTGTTTAATTCCCAGCTTGGGGCATTTTGCTGGGGAATGTTTTTCAACCGAACAGCAAAAGATTAAGGCCTAATTCACACAGGCTTCAGTTTGAATAAGAGCAGTGTGAACACAATGTTTTCAGCAAGCTTGTTTAAGGTGACACAACTCCCATTTAGATCTATGTTTAACATTCTCAAACTGGAGCTGAAGGGTGCTGTAAAAACTTCAACAAAGCTTGTTGAAAGCTCTGCAAATACTCTGTAAAATCTTGCTGTTCACACTACTATTCTACGAGCTGAAGCCAGTGAGAACTAGGCCTAAATGTGCATATATGCATCCAAAATAAAGATCAGTTTTGGGACAACTGACCCTTTAAAGGTCACTTAGCCTTTAACAGTGGTGCTTATTTCTGGTTTTCAGGAACCACTTTAAATATGTATGTCGTCTTCAATACTAGGAAGTGTCAGCTATAAGTTTGGAGTAACCTATGAAAGAGAACACCACCTATTATATGACCTGAGAGCCTATGAAGGGTTCGGGAACAACATGCACTATTTGTGGCCCTTGGTGATCAAAATAGGGCACCGTTGGCCTAAAATAAGTCACCTTAAAGGAGAACTATGGGGTTAAGGCTTTTCCCCATAGTTCTCCTTAGGGTAACGGGAGGACACACAAACTAAGCTCAGTATACTGCGAGCTACTGGTATCGCTGTATACTGAGACACCACAGTATACCGTGAGCTACTGCTCGCGGTATACTGAGACGCTGAAGCGGATCCTGACAATTATGTCTGGATCCGCCCAGCTGCGTGAGTGACAGCTGGCTCTGCCTATCTAGAGGCAGAGCCAGCTGTACCCGCCCCCTCCCCGTCCGATCCGCAAGTCAGCGCTGGCGGATCGGAGTGGGGAATCCAGACCCTCCCCTGTCACGACAGAGCTGTGACAGGATCGAGAGGTGAGCGAACACCGGTATGTGTTCGCTCACCTCCCGATCTACTGAGCCGACCTGTGACAGTCTCATTGTCACAGGTCGGCTAGAACTATGAGGTGAGTGAAAAGCACTCACCTCATAGTTCTCTAAGATTTGGAGAACATTAACAGATATCCATTTTCAAAATTTAGGCACTAGAATTTTGTTGACTTGGATAAATTCCTATTGTGACGTTATACACTATATTGCCAAAAGTATTGGGACACCCCTCCCAAATCATTGGGTTCAGGTATTCCAATCACCTCCATAGTCACAGGTGTATAAAATCAAGCACCTAGGCATGCAGACGCTTCTACCAACATTTGTGAAAGAATGGGTCGCTCTCGGGAGCTCAGTGAATCCAAGCGTGGTACCGTGATAGGTTGGCAACCTGTGCAGTAAGTCCATCCGTGAAATTTCCTTGCTACTAAATATTCCACGGTCAACTGTTAGTGGTATTATAACAAAGCAACTTTGTTGGAAGCAACTTTGAACCACAGCAACTCGGCCACAAAGTGGTAGGCCACGGAAAATGACAGAGTGGGGTCAGCGCATGCTGAAGAGCACAGAAGTCGCCAACTGTCTGCAGAGTCAATAGCTACAGACCTCCAAACTTCCTGTGGCCTTCAGATTCACACACAGTGCGTAGAGAGCTTAATGGAATGGGTTTATGGTGTGGGGCTGTTTTTCAGGGGTTGCGGTTGGCCCCTTTGTTCCAGTGAAGGGAACTCTTAAGGCATCAGCATACCAAGACAATTTCATGCTCCCAACTTTGTGGGAACAGTTTGGGGATGGCCCCTTCTTGTTCCAACATGACTGCGCACCAGTGACTAGCCTGCACAGAGTCCTGACCTCAACCCGATAGAACACCTTTGGGATGAATAAGAGCGGAGACTGCGAGCCCGGGCTTCTCGTCAAACATCAGTACCTGACCTTACAAATGTGCTTCTGGAAGAATTGTCAAACATTCCTATAGACACCCTTTTTTTTTTTCTTTCTTTCAAACAAACTTTATTCCGTTTTTCAGCCACCCCCAAAAGGATTATAACCTTTTTATCATATAAAATGAAAATACATTTTTACATCTTGGGGTCGCTCATCGCAACCCCCATAAGTGTATCCTAACTTCTCTTCTAACATTCCCAACTATTATTCCCATGCTGGTTGCCACATTTTTGTTACTTGTCAAAATCTATGTTCTAAGTACTTAATGCTCCTAAGGGTGTCGCGCGTGATTCCCAAAACATCTTATGAGTTACACTTTTACATCTACATTGCACTTTATGGTACTTCCAGGACTCCCAGGCTATTTGACAGTTTGGCCTTGAGGTGCCATTCAGAATATATAAAGGGTTGCATAATGTGGACCAACTCCGCCCCTTCGAAAGTTGCTTCCACATAGTATTTCCAACGTTTGAAAAACCTAGTAGTGAGTGCATCCACCTGCATTTCAGTAGACACACTTTTAAACCTTGTGGACGCCTTCCCAGAAGAGTTGAAGCTGTTATAGCTGCAAAGGGTGGGCCAACTCAATATTGAACCCTACGGACTAAGACTGGGATGCCATTAAAGGTCATGTGTGTGTAAAGTGAGGCGTCCCAATAATTTTGGCAATATAGTGTATTTTCCTAGACACAGCAAACTTCCTGCTTAGTGTTCCCAGTTTAGCTCTCTGCAGACACCTTTTGTACTCACACATTCTAAGTACAGGATCTCTAATAGCTACAGCTCTTTTTTTTGTGGCCCATTTATAAATATTGCAGTTTATATCTGCTTGAGGTATATTATTTGCAGATTAATCTTTTCCATATACATGTTTTATACAAAAGCATTCATTTTACCAATCTTTAAAGTTGTGTTCAGGTATATTGTTAGCATGTTTTTATTGTTCAAGAGGTAAGTGTTCCAATAGACTCATAAACCAGCACTGTGAATGTATAAAGTGCAGAGCAAAGTCCAACAATCTTTGTATTTATTAACCCTGCTCTTCTTGTATTTTAATAGATGCTGCAAAGGTAAACCACTTAATTTCTCATATCATGGACTTGATTGCAGCATCGTTGCCATCTTAGCTATTAGTACTAGCCAAATGTTAGTAAAAAATAGTTAACTATAAAGCATAAGTAAAGTCTACTGTACAAAAAAAAATGGTCCTCCAGGACCTGTTAGCCATAATGTGCCAGTGCTTTCATGTCATCTTCCGTGTTCCAAGTTTTCGACCACTTGGCTGGATGGGTCTGAATGACTTAACTCATATCTTCAAAACGAGCATTTAACCCTTGCAGTGCAGAGGCAGCCCCACTGCAAGGGGTAATGAGATTTTATATGCCTGTAGTTCTTTAACGTCTGGATTGGAGACAAGTCCTGCCCATCCTGCCTCTGCCTTTTTGGCTTGAATGCCATTCTTATAGAATTGGAGATGTTATGCTTATGCCGAAGGTAAATTCCCCCATATGAAAGTGAAGGTAATTGTAACACTGGACAGAGGAGGTAGTGTCCGATATACTTATAGTGCATGCTCGTCATAAACATGAGGTAGTAGTCAGGAGGTTCGGCCAGCGAAATATGCTTCCTATGAAATATCATCCCATTGTACACCTAGTCCTAGTGGCCTCAAAGGAAAAAAGGTGTAGTTTCTGGGTGCAAATATGTGCATGTACATCCAACATGATGGTGCACATTTATGGAAAAGCCTTTTATAAGAAAGACCACCATCCAAGTCTGTGAGGTAGCTGTGGCTGGCCTTTCATCTTGTGTTCAAACAGTTTTTTTTGTTTTTTTTGTTTTTTGTTTTTTTTTATGCATTGCTCTTCTCTTTTAGCTACGTGTTGGTCCTTTTGATGAACTCCAGATTGCAACCATGTTGAGAGAAATCTTGAAAGGTCTGGATTATCTGCACTCAGAAAATAAAATTCACAGGGACATCAAAGGTATGTGCAAGTAAAATTTGAATACCTTTCTACCCCTATTTACAGATGTGGTGCATTCTGGCCTCAATTTCTTTTGTCTTCCAGCTGCCAATGTCCTACTCTCCGAGCAAGGGGATGTCAAACTCGCTGACTTTGGTGTCGCTGGACAGCTAACTGATACACAGATCAAAAGAAACACATTTGTAGGTACTCCTTTTTGGATGGCACCTGAAGTCATACAACAGTCTGCCTATGACTCCAAGGTAAGAATTGGGTGTCCTTATGTTGTCATTGTACATTTGTTTTCAAAACTTGCATAGGTGCCTGATATTTTGCTTTGGCTAGGCAGTCTTAAAGGGTAGGGCCGCAGGAAACAAATATATCCTTCCTAGACATATGCAACATGTGCAACTGTTTTTCGTCCGCATGCAGCAAGAAATCTGTTTTGTATGATGTAATAATAACGTTAAAGGAGAATTATGAGGCGAGTGATTTTCACTCGGTCATAATCTGAGCCGACCTGCGATAACGAAACTGTCACAGGTTGGCTCAGTAGATCGGGAAGTGAGCGAACACATACTGTCGCTTGCTCACTTCTCGATCTATCCCTGCAGAGAGGCGTGACTCACCGCTCCCTGCAGGGATTCCACCCCTGTCCGATCCTCCAGCGCTGACTGGCGGAACGGACGGGGGAGGGGGCGGGTGACAGCTGGCTCTGCCTCTAGATAGGCAGAGCCAGCTGTCGCTCACACAGCTGGGTGGATCCAGACAGAATTGTCGGGATCCGTTCCGGCTGCGGCGTCTAGGTATACTGCAAGCTGTAGCCTGCGGTATACTGAGCTTTGGGTGACGGGAGGACGCTAGTTTGTGTCCTCCCGTTACCCTTAGGAGAACTATAGGGAAAAGCCCTGACCCCATAGTTCTCCTTTAAGAGACATGGTCACTTTACCAATACAGGGCAGGGCAGTGCTCCCCTGATAGCTGACCCCGCAGCAAGCTGTTTTGGCCCAGTCGTGCTTCCTCACTAGTTTTTTCTCCCCACTTTGTCTGAGCTTTCTCTCTCCATTGCTCAAACAGTTGACTTCTGGTATGGAAGCATGCGACCTACCCATGTGACAGTGTTTGGGCCGAAGCAGCCAGTCGCCATGCATGAGCAGTGTCACTTGGGAGTAGGGCAGTGACGTCATTCACCCAGGGTAAGCCCCAACACAGTAAACAGGGTAAGTCATCAGGAGACTAACGTGTTCTGAATATGTTAGTGACGGTGTCTCCAAGTTTAGAGCCAGTTGTCTCATTTCTTTCAGCATGGTGTGAGCTCTGTTATCTGGCCACCTCTGTTTTAATAGGCACTTTTCCATCCTGTATGACCAGATCTTGCTATGGAAACATAGAGCACGTCATTTCTTTTAGACAGAAGTAGTGCTCAACTGAAATGTCCCTTATTTTTGGTGGGTCCAGTCTTCACTTAAACGAGCAGTGGATTCACCAACATGCTAATCTGCTATGGTAAGGGCAGATTAAATTGTGATGAGAAGAAATTGCTGCATGTTCCAACTCAAATGATCAGATATGATGCACTGTTTGGAAATTGGATTTATGAAGTGGTTTAAGCACTAAAGGAGATCTTAATTCTGCCCTTTATAGATCAGTCTTCTACTGAGTTACAGATGTTGCAGACTTTGCTTCAGGCATCCTCCTGAAGGAGCAGTGTGATTGTGAATTTCCCTCAGGACACTGGAATGATATGCTGGGCATCTTGCTAATTATCGGTCTGAGCCTCTGGTTGTTTTTCTTGTGGTTCTATCTTCTCCCTGTGCATTAGAGCTGCACTTCAGGCTGGGGTTTATCTGGTCACTCTTCTGTAAGCTGCAGTAGATTCATTTTCTGCTGCCAAACTAAATTTACAGGCAAGAAACCAACAGTCCGTGTGTGTGTGTGTGTGTATAAAAATGACAGTTTTTTCCTCAATGAAATAACTCTTTAGGCTCTTTGCTATAAAACTAGCACCTAAAACTACAGATTTAGTGCCACATCACAAAAGTGAGTGAGTGTTGCAATAAATGAATGTGTGGTGTTGTATGGAAACTCATTCTGTTAGATAGAATATTCATTAATTGTAGCCACTAGAATGAATTTACATGCATACATGTGTGTTTACGTGCAAATGATGCCAGTGAGCTTCCTCTCTGAACACAGGTTTGTAGCATTTTAGTTTCATGCCCCTAAACTCTGCTCTAAAATATGGCTCTACATGCCACAATGTGCATGGGTAGATAAACTAAAATATAGGTGAGCTCCAAGGCATTAAGAAAAGCCTTCAAAAGCTGAGGTTTTTTTTCTGCCCGTGTTCATGAGGTTTAGGGAATGATCTTTGTTTTCTGGCCTTGTTATGGAAGTTAAAATGTGTGAATACCATCTGTTATAAGATGTCTTTTACACTAAAGTGTAACTCCATCCAAAAGTTTTCATTGCTGTAGTGTGCTTGTCAGACATTTTCCCTTACATCTGTCCCAATGATGAAGAAAGGGGAAATCTCACCAACAGGCACATAACAAAAGCGCAATAGTGATTTCTGTACGTAAGTATATGACATTGTCACATCTCTGGGACGTTACCCTTGTGACACGACCAATAGAGACCCTTCTCAATCATCCGCCAAAACTCCTTTGGCGATGCCAATGCAAATGTATCTTGCATGTCCTAAACTCCCCAACAGGGACTAAAGGCCACCACCTAAAATTGGTAGAGGAAAGATTTTTTTATCGAAAAGGGCATAGGGGCTTCTTCTCAGAGTGGTAGGATTGCAGAACTCTCTGCCACAAGCAGTAGTATCAGCAGAGTATTGAATCATTTCAAAAATCAATTAGATACCTTCCTCAGAGGTACTCTTAAAACCTAAGACCCCAAGGGACTCCTATACACACACACATGCACGCACTACAAACACACTTACACATAAAGGTTGAACTTGATGGACCTGTGTCTTCAACCTCAAATACTATGTAACTATGTAACCACCGCTGTAGTACAAACTATATACTGTAGAGACTACGTTGGACATTTGTAAACGGAAGTTTGTCTGCACACCTGGTAGATAAGGTTTCCCAATCTAAACATATCTGGGAACCGTGGTTGACGTGTTTACAGTTTGAAACCTTTGACAGATGTCTCACTGAGCTCTAACCATTTGAGGTTTGCTCTAGGTAGCTAGTCTCTACCTCCGTGCAGGAATGGTGTTGCTCCTCTAGCCGTCCCGTTTCTACTTTTCCTCCCTCTCCTCTTTTTTTTTTTTCTCTGTTCTTTCTCTACTGTTCCTCCCTTTTTCTTTTTTGACCCACTGGCCCTGCTTTCCTAACACGATAACTCTAATCTAGGGTACCCACCTTGATTAGATGTGCAAGCTGAGCCCTTCCTGTGTTTTTCTTCCTGAACCTGGTATTTGCATAGTCTCGTTTAAGTTCCATTTTTGATATTGTGACTTTTGCACACTAGTCCCAACACTTGTTACCTTCCTCTGTGCATCCCGTTACTACGGACCGGTGTGCCTGATTCTCTATCTACACCTTGTATTAACCAATTTCTATATTTCTGTTCTTGTGTGGTAGTTTTTTTTTATTGGTTTGTTACACAAAATGAAAAGTCAATAAAAATGTTTTGAAATTTAAAAGATAAAAGTTTCTAATCTTTCCTTCCTCTGTTTAGGACTAAAACTTTTGGTTGGAACTGCATATGTAATATTTCAGGACGTTTTGTACTAAAAAAATGTAGAGCTTTTTAATCTAGTTAAAGGGAATGTCGCAAAGTAAACACCTGTGTGATTAGACTCTGATAGCAGCAGCCATTCCCTGGTTTATGATGTTCATTATCTCCTCTTTAGTGACTGGATACTGTTCCAAAGTAGATGTCTTTTTCCTTATCTGGGGCAAAGCTACCATTATGAACCACTCTTGTATTGGCCCCTCATGTCTATGGTCCTCAATTTTCAGTGCCGCCTGCTGGTTTATCTGAGACTTTCACCCGTTGTGCAGTTTTAAGGACACTTTGCAGACTATACACTTGCTGAAAAACTGTTTGTTTTTGTGTGAAATGTTATATAATTTTTTTTTTTTCTTACAGGCTGATATTTGGTCATTGGGTATAACAGCGATTGAACTAGCAAAAGGTGAACCACCGAACTCTGATATGCACCCGATGAGGGTCCTGTTTCTCATCCCTAAAAATAACCCACCTACCTTAACAGGGGACTTTGGCAAACCATTTAAAGAGTTCATCGATGCCTGCCTCAACAAAGATCCCTCTTTTGTAAGTTTTTATTTATACTTATTAAAGCACAAGTTTAGTTGTACTCTAGTAATCCATTACTCTTTGCTGGAAATAGCTGTTGGCGTATGTTCAGTTGTAGAAACTTTCTCAAATATTGCATTTGTTAGTCAAGGCACCTAGTAACCAGTGAAGGGCCTAGGACACTGATGTCCAAACTCCGGCCCTCCAGCTGTGGTGAAACTACAAATCCAATGTAGCATCTCTCTCCGGGAGTCGTGGATGTGAGAATCTTGTAAAGCCTCATGGGATTTGTAGTTCCACCACAGCTGGAGGGCCGCAGTTTGGGCATCCTGGCCTGGGAGCAAAACATACCAGCTTCTAGTTTGTAACATTGCCTAAATAAATTTCCTCCTCTTAATGGGAGAACAGGGAAAAGGTAGCTATAACACACTTGGGAACCTTGTAACAGCAGAGGGAACACCCCAAAAAAAGACTAAAGTTTGTTTTTTTGAAAATAAGTTTGGTCAAAGACACTCAATAGCACCCTTTATTTAAGGGGTTGTTGGCCATTTCTTTCAGGGGGCAACAACTAAGTCAAATGGTATTGTGTGCCTTTGTGGTTTACAGCAAAAACAATCTGCTATTGCACCAGAGTCTGTATAACAAAGGCTCAGTATATTCCTGGTATGAAGTTCAAGAGGTATTGAGTTTTTAAAGCTTTTAAGGTTCAGTAGCCACAGATCCATTTCTTAGTGAGATTGGTCTTCAGGCACCAGTGCATGGATGTAAGCTAGTGGATAACTCAGTTGCGTGCACACTACCAGTAGCGGCAACCCACGAGGGAACTTATGCTGTTGTATTTGTGCTGTGACCGGAGCCATGAGAACAGTCAGCCAAGCCCACTCGCACCGCCACCTTACGCGCAACCTGGGAGAGGGAGCTAAACCAGGAGATCCCAGTAAACACTTGGGAATCAGCATGCTTAGGCGCACACAAAAGTTCAGTGAGCTGTAGTACTCAAACAAATTTCAAACTCCCCTCACGATGGTATAGAACCCCAGCTCTCCTCCACAAATTTGACCCAGCAATACGAGAGGCTTGTTGGAGATGCACCTCAGCACGAGGTACACTCATCCACATCTTCTGGGAGTGTTCCCTTCTTCAACCTTATTGGAGACAGATCCACGATATTATTGCTCAGATCGTGGGGGAACAGCTCACTTTTAGCCCAAGTACCTACCTACTCCATATCCGTGAAGAGGAGACTGAGGGTCCCCACAAATCTCTCAGTAAACATTTAACGCGGCTCGAACAGTCATACCGAGACTATGGAGAGAGACACGGCCCCCTTCTCTTACTGAATGGTTCACTCAAGTAAATTATATCTCTGAAATGGAAGAACTCCTCTTTATCAAACTAGACAAGGTGACCAAATTCTCTAGGCTATGGGCACCATGGACACACTTTTGCCTAGGAAAAGTATATGAAGAACTCACACGCACCACCGCTTAACAAACTAACATACAAGTAAATTACCTACCGATCCTCAGGGAACACATCTCTGGTGAAGAAGACTATGCTACCCACGGAAGTAAACCCAGAACGACAAACCTTAGATCCCTCCCATCATGACACACCAACATATGTTTGATCACAATACATGTATGCCTCTTCTTTTCTTATGTTCAATAAAATAAAAATCTTTAATGGAAAAAAAAATGAGAACAGTCAGTATCACAGCGAAGGGGCTGGGAGCCGAGTGTATCAACCCCACTAAAATGAAAAAATGTGTTTGCCAGAACTGGTTCAAAAGTCATTAAGTCCATTATTTGGTTTTGCAGGTTACCATTACATACCCAAGGCTTATGTCTTGGAAAAAATGGTGGCTGGCTGTTGTAGTAATTTAGATGCCTCAACTACCCATATCCTGGAAATGTGTCCATCCTTTTCCTAATAACACAGGAACCAAAAACTACGCTTATGTCTGCTGTAACATCTGTGCAATTGCTTCTGTGCTGTATAAACTATATAACCAAATGTATTTCTTTGAGGCTTTTTTAGCATTCTGAAATTCACTTTCAGCTGCAAGACAAAGATTCTTCTCCCCTCTAGAAATTCAGATTTGATTTGGCAATAATACCTCACTTGAAGATAACTTGAAGTGCCAAAAACATAACTTATCCAGTGCTGTCGGCAGACTTTCTTGAGTTCTGTTTTCAGTGGAATCACCCAGGTTGGCCAGAATGCCTTGTTGCTCTGTGCATATTTCCCATAAGCCCCACCATAGACCTATTACAGTGATGGGCAATCAGTACTTTGACTTAAGTGGGCCATGCTCCCATGAAGTATGTGCACAGTAAGGCTATTCCAGCCACACAGAGAGCTTACGTTGATGAGACATGCAGAGACCTGGAGTTATCTGCAGTGTCATGAGTGCTTGATTTAGATACTTCAGGTTCAATTTCAATCTTAAAGGAGAACTATGGGGTCAGTGCTTTTCCCCATAGTTCTCCCCAGGGTCATGGGAGGACACAAACTAGCGTCCTCCCGTGACCCAAAGCTCAGTATACCGCAAGCTACAGCTCGCGGTATACTGGGTGCCGCCGCCGGGACTATCTAGAGGCAGAGCCAGCTGTACGCGCCCCCTCCGCTCCACCAGTCAGCGCTGGAGGATCAAACAGGGGAGGGGGGAATACCTGCAGGGAGCCGTGAGTGACAGCCACGGCTCTCTGCAGGGATCGAGAAGTGAGCGAGCGACGGTATGTGTTCGCTCACTTCCCGATCTACTGAGCTGACATGTGACAGTTTCATTGTCACACGTCGGCTTGAACTATGAGGTGAGTGATTTTCACTCGCCTCATAGTTCTCCTTTAAGCTATTAATATGGATGCGCTGATGTAAATTAGAATGGCTGAGCAATGCTGCTTGGCCTCAAGCTGTGAATGGTGACATCTAAAGAACTGTTTTCATATGCATTTGTAATTGATGTGATGAACTGTGTAGTCAAATTGTATGTGCAAAATCTAAATCTTCCGTGTCCTCTTTAAATACAATTCTGTTAAATGTAGCCAAACAAAAGTTTACTGTGTCATTTTGTTTTATTTTTTCATCAGCGACCTACAGCCAAAGAACTTCTTAAGCACAAATTTATTGTGAAAAATGCCAAGAGGACATCTTACCTAACAGAGCTGATTGACAGATTTAAACGATGGAAGGCTGAGGGTCACAGTGATTCCGGTTCTGATGATTCAGATACGTAAGTATTACAACTGTGATTTTATAAAAAATATCTTCAAAACCTGTATTTTGTACTACCATGTCTGCCCAGTCCAGTGTACAGTCCTCTGGTTGAACTGTCAGTCCCACCCCCCCCCTGCCCCCCCATCCCAGCTAGCTGTTCCAAGAGGTATACAGGATTAGGAAATATACAGTGTATTCCTGGAACACATTTCTTTCAGTTTAGGGTGTAAATATTATGTCTTATGTAAGAGTACTACTTTATAGAAATTCAGTTCTAGCACTGAGCGTGACCTTCCTGATTTTCACAGAGAGTCCAACAACAAAGAGAACCATTCTCATCCTGAATGGAATTTCACCACAGTCCGGAAGAAGCCAGATCCAAAAAAATTGCAGAATGGGACAGTAAGTGTCATCAATCATAAAGTTAAATTGTCCATGTGCTCTCTCCACATTGTGTTTTTTATATTTTTACTTTAGTCAAGGTATAATCATTCTAATGACTATTCCTGGTGCGCTTTCCAGAACTTTCATTTTATTTTAAATATATAAAATTGATCACGGTTTGCTTCTAAGCGTCTTATTTTACATAACTACACAATAATGTGAACACTTCAGGTCTTTTTACTCCCAAAGGGCTTTTCCTTTCAGAGATTTCCGTTCTGTGGCAATTGCTTGTACATTTTCACTATAGCTACTGAATTATTACAGCACGGGATATTTGGGCCAAAATATAATCAACAGATTTTGAGTATAAGCCAAAAGAGAGATTTGCCACAAATGAATATTTAATTTTTTTTAATGATGCATCAGGGTGGCTTAGAACTTTTTCCATGAATGGTTAGTGTCGCATTAAGGTTATATCTGGTTTCTGTTGATATTAATTGGTATGACCATGCCCTTTTCACAGGTTCAAACTGCAGAACACTGAATGATATGATACAATTGTTGTAGTGTTTTTGGGATATGTGTACTTCTCCTTTTGCCCGCCACCCCCGACCTAAGCAATCGGACCCTCTTCCTCCACAGATCCATACCTACCCAGACCAAATGGGCACTGTTCATCTACTGTTTATATCCAGCACTGCAGTACTCCCTCTGCTGGCTGCACCTGCACATTGCAGCCCCATAGACTTCTATGGTGCCCTCTCCCATCTGGGAGGCTGATAAAGCCAGGAGAGGGACACTTGTAGCGCTGGATGTCAAGAAACAGAGCAGCAGCCCTCTGATTTTGGTAAGTATAGATCTGCAGAGGGCAAGGGTGGGATTGTTTAGATCAGTCATGGGGGGTAGAAATAAGTGCACTTGTTCTTTAATGTTCCTATAATAAGCAGCATCATGTCAGATGTGTGTGTTGGAACATAGGGATTTGAAGGATTTTATTTTATTTCAGTTTGTGTTTTTTTTTCCTATAATCTCATTGTTGATTATGTCAGAACCAGTAAACACTGCTACCATGGTGTAGTTGGAGCATCTGCTATTTTTCTCAGTAATAAAATCAGTCCCAGCCACAATGTTTGGCAGGGCCTACAAGATACTTTTTTGCATTTGAAAAAGGGGGAATGTTTTACTAATTATATGTAGTGATTTTAACATTGCCCATTTTAAAACAATACTTTCTGCCAAGAGTACCTTATTTCCTTACTGATATTAAGCATCATATGCAAGAACCGTGTTTCAAACTTGTATCGTATCTTCTGTTGATGGGCTGTGTATGCTATTTAGCCAGTTAACATTTCTTCATTTGCCTTTCAGGATCAAGATCTTGTAAGAACCCTGGGCTCTTTATCTGTAATAATTGCCCCCGTGTTTGCTGAGGTATGGTCTTTATGTTGCAGCTGTTTGAATATATGCTTGTAGGTGTTCTTGTTAAAGTGCAGTGTTAACTGTTCTTGGATCCCACAATTGATGCATTTTGTATCTAGAGGAAGGCTTAATATTTTAATTGCAAGCATTTATACTGCACAAGTGGTTTCTGTTGTGCTTTACAAATTGCATTGTGTATATATTTTTTAAATCCTTTTTTGCATTCTCTACAAAATACTGGAGATTTTAATATTGGATCTGGCACAAGGAAGGAATAATATGCTATTTATTGTAGCTATGAATTAGTCATGGAACTCTTATTTGGCAGCACCTGCCAGTCTTTTCTTTGTTTTGATCGAATTGGGGAAGAGTTTGAAGCTCTAGGATTCAGGACGTAATGTAAAAGCTTTTACCTGCACACTGTTAGTATATGAAAATGTGACACTTTCGGTTGCTAGGGGTGGCATTAAACATTAAGAATTAAGTCTTTATTCAAGGGATGCTCAGATACCAGTGCCGTTACTTGGCATTTTCACGAGAACTTCCAGGGTTTCAGTGTTACTGGGACCTGCCGCTCCACCACTGTCCCGAAACCATTAGTTTCTCTTGTTTTAGAAAAACTGTCGCATGACGCTAAACAAAAATGTATCGGTAATTGTATCTGAGAGTACTTGGGCAACTATCGGTACTTGGTCTGGAAAAATTGTATCAGTGCATCCCTAAAAAATAATATATATATGTGTATGTATGTGTATATTTTCTCATTAATCTACACTCAGTACCCTAAAATGACAGTGAAAACAGAATTTTAGAAATGTCTATGAATTTATTAAAAAGAAAAACTGAAATATCGCAAGCATTTAAGAGTTCAGACCCTTTACTCAGTACTTTGTTGAAGCACCTTTGGCAGCAATGACAGCCTCGAGTCTTTTTGGGTATGACGTGACAAGTTTGGCACACCTGGATTGGGGGATTTTCTGCCATTCTTTGCAAATGCTCTCAAGCTCAGCCAGGTTGGATGGGGACCTTCGGCAGACAGGCATTTTCAGGTCTCTTCAGAGATGTTTAATAGGGTTCAAGTCAGGGCCCTGGCTGGGACACTCACAGTTGTCCCTAAGCCACACCTGTTTTGTTTTGGCTGTGTGCTTAGGATCGTTGTCATGTTGGAAGGTGAACCATCAGCCCAGTATGGGGTACCCTCTTGCCACTCTGCCATATCAGTGGAGGGCTGCAGTGATGGTTGTCCTTCTGGAACTTTGTCCCCTCTCCACACAGGACCATTGGGTTTCTTGGTCAGCTCTCTTACTAAGGGCCTTCTCACCCGATTGCTCAGTTTGGCCAGGCGACCAGCACTTGTAAGAGTCCTTGTTGTGCCAAACTTCTTCCATTTGAAAATGATGGAGGCCACTGTGCTCTTGGGAACCTTCAGTGTAGCAGATTTTTTTTTTTAGCCTTCCCCAGATCTGCAAAATAATCCTGTCTGAGATCTGTAGGTAGCTCCTTTGACCTCATGGCTTTTGCTCTGATACAGTATGCATTGTCAGCTGTGAGGCCTTCTATAGAGAGGTGTGTGCCTTTCCAAATCATGTCCAATCAATTTAAGCACTTTTCAAGTGTTGCTGCAAAGGGTCTGAATACTTAACTCTTCATGTAAGGGGTCAATTATATATATATATATATAATTTAAACTGTGGTATCAGGCTGCAACTTAACAAAATAGAAAAGTGACGGGGGTCTGAATACTTTCTGAATGCAGTGTGTGTATTAGATACATAATGTATATATGTGTATGCACAAATCCCAGGAGCACTGTAGCCAAGGCTCCATAAAAATGACAGCTACCTCCTAACTTTTGAGTTTTTCTCTAGTCTCTCCTTGGAGCTGGTAAAGTATCAGTACTTGTTCTCAGTACGCTACTTGGTATCTGAGCATCCCTACTTTATTCCTAAGGTGGAAATCCATTCAAAGGTGGTTAAGAGGCTTTAGATCTCTTCAGATTTTATTGGTAATATAATACATTTTTTAAGTAACCATTCATTTTAAAAAAGGGGCTGCACTTGCGATATTGCAAAACATATTTTATTCACAGAGCAAAGGCTTAAAAACAATCTGAAAACCATTTAAGACCAATACACCGCCTACTGTAAGGATGGCTAGTCATAAATCATTAAATCCAATACTATATACATGCAAAACCCACTCATGAGATTTAAACAATTGGAGTAAACAAAATGAAGGATATGGCTATCCTAAATCTTATAAGTCCCAGACAAATGTGACTTAATCCATAATCAAATCCACTCAGTCTAAATGGATTTTCAGCCTATGCGGAATACTATTTCTGTTTTTTTTGTTGTTGCAGATGTTATCCTAGTTGTGGAATATAGTTTGCCAATAATTAGAATGTCTTCTACTCTGTGCACTGTTATACACAGGTATATTGTATACACAGGTTTAATATAGATTGGTTATGTCTAATGCACCAATAATAATCATTGAATGTTCAGACGTAGCACATTTGCAGTTGAAGTCTGCTGTACAGTTGAAGATGTAGTCTGCCATTTAGTAGAGAAGAAATAGAACTTGCCTGTATTTAGAGAGCCTGTGCAGCCTTCCATTTTCATCCCAACACCTATCCCATGCATGAAGCTACTCTGATAAGTCTTTGTAAATTTCAGTGTCAATATATCTTATGCCAGTCTAGGAGTTCCCTAGTTCTGAGGCTACCCACTCTCTGAGCCCATTCTGCCTTGTTCACACAAACACACATTTAAGTATCGGAGGAAGGTTTCTTAATCTGGCTGTAAGTGATAATGAAACCTGCGCACAATTGCAGTGTTATAGTATCAGCCTTTCACTGGTGGGTATCTGTTGCCTTGCCTTACTCTTTGGTGGCTTAAAATCTCTCTTATAATGTGGAATGAGCCACCTACCAACCTGTAGTTTAACCAACTCACCTTAATTACAGTTGTGTTTTTTTTTTAAATATTCTTTTTTTTGTATTTTATAAAGACCATTAAAATTGTTGACATACTGTATTACATGATTATACATCCAGGTACAACTTATTGAATCAGACATTATTATTTTCTCGACATTTCATTCTCATGTCTATTATAAAACTATTTGCCTATGTACCTTCTATCTATCAAATTGTAACCAAGAATAGGAAGAGAAAAAAGGAAGGGGAAAAAAAAAAAAGGGAAAACCCTAAGGGGAGAAAGATAAAATAGAGGGGAAATCCGGCAACCCTATCGAGATTCTTCGTTATGATGTTTTACTGAAGCAAATTAAGAAAGGCTTATGTGCTATCCCAACCCCTGAAACAATTTCAGTTAATGAACCATTTGTATTGGTATGTTTGCATTCTATCCTATATTCTCTGTGTATCCCAGGGGAATTTCTAAAGTCGTTGCCAAGTAATTTCAAATTGTTTAAAAGTGTCCCTCCGGATTGATGTCAATTCCTCCATCAATCGATAATATTCTACTCTATTATACCGCTCTCTAATAGTTGGGGTAGTATTTTTATCCCAATGGTAGTGATATCAGAATTTTGGTAGCGTTAAGTAAAGGGCGCAGCAACGATCTTTTATAGACTGAAGTCGGGTAGTCTGTAAGATGAAAAAGACATGCCATCGGGTCCAAGGGTAATGCGATTGTTGTAATCTCCTCAATCATTTCCACCACCCGGGACCAGAAGGGCTGAAGTTTAGGACAGGACCACCACATATGAACATAAGTTCCAATATTACCACAGTTTCTCCAACACAACTTTGTCTTGGTGGGTACATTTTGTGTATATGTTCAGGTGTATAATACCATCATGCTAAAAACGAAATGATGTGTCAGTCACTAGGGTACTTATAGACCAGATTGTATTAAGACTTAAGATTCTTTTGTTTCTGTGAATCCGTCCAGGTAGTCTCCAATTCCTGCTCCCACTGTTACCTTAATTACAGTTGAAATAATTGTAGCCGAAAATGCACTATGCTGGCAGATTCGTGTTGAAAGCAGTTTACTGCAAGTTTTGCGGAACCCCCCCTCTGTATGGCTGACACCCTTCAGTTTTAAAGTAGGCTAATGCTTTAATATGAGTCGCTCTGATCTAACCTTGGGGTCTTCTTTACAGCTTAAACAGCAAGACAGGAATAATATTGCGAGGAAAAATGCCATTGAAGAATTAGAAAAGAGTATGAACCAGGCAGAAGCTACTTATCCCGGAATTACTGACAAGATGGTAAAGAAACTTATGGAAAAATTCCAGAAGTAAGTATTTTACATTGACCAAATAGACCTTTTAACTTGTGGAAGCACTACAGCTATATGTAAAGACAGGTGTGGGATGTCTGAACTGGATGCTTATGATATTTACACATTTGGGAGAACCTGTGTTAGAGCTTTCAACTTCCTGCAGTTTAATACATTCTGGTCCTGCAGGGTGCTGTTAGAATAAAATGCACCGCATTGGAATACAATTGCAAATACATGTGCATTTTAAAAGTTAAGGTTACCATGCATCATGGTGATTAAATGGTTAGTACTGTTGTCTTTTTTTTGTTTCGGGCCCTAGGTCCCACCAAAGACGACATCTGCATGGAGATGGAGAGTCATGTTTTTTTCAGATAGTCCAGTAACAAACCAACAGATTGTGTCCTGTCTGTCTGATTATGGTACATCCAGTGCTCATCTATTCTCTGTAAAGCTCTGCAGAATATGGCATAAATATATGAACTGCATTCAGACCTGGAGAAATGATTTGTAACTTTACAAAAAGGCAACCATCAGGCATTCTGTGCATTTGCAATTGGTTTGGAAAGGGAAATGGATGAACGCAAAAAGAATGGGTAACGGGAGGACACAAACTAGCATCCTCCTGTCATCCTAAGCTCAGTATACCGCAAGCTGTAGCTCGCGGTATACTGAGACGCCGTAGCTGAAGCGGATCCCGACAATTATGTCTGGACCCGCCCAGCTGTGTGAGTGACAGTTGGCTCTGCCTTTCTAGGGGCAGAGCCAGCTGTACCCGCCCCCTCCCTGTCCGTTCCGCCAGTCAGCGCTGGCGGAGTGGGGAGTGGGGAATCCAGTCCCTCCCTTGTCACGGCAGAGAGCCTTGACAGGATTGAGAAGTGAGCCAACGCAGGTATGTGTTCGCTCACTTCCCGATCTTCTGAGCCGACCTGCGACAGTCTCATTGTCACAGGTCGGCTAGAACTATGAGGTGAGTGAAAAGCACTCACCTCATAGTTCTCCTTTAATGCAAGATTTAGTTTAATGGCTCCCTCTTCAGGTAAAGTAGAGAGTTTGACATCGAAGAAAGACTTGTAAGGATATATGTCAACACCAGTTTTAAGGGCAGCATACTGATAAAGAGCAGTGAAATAAAGCTGTGCAGTGTCCTGCGGGGGAATTGCATTTTGGTGTCCTGATCCAAATGTAGACTATGCAATTTAATATTTAAGTTTCCCATTGCTGTGAACAAATGTATATTGAAAAAAACTAATAAACATGTTTACTAGTCGGTAGACTTTAGTAATCACTGCAGATTTCTGTGTTTCATGCACAGCCAGATAATAGCAGGGTCCATGTCGATGGGTTTTGCATTCCTACAAGTTGATGGGATTGCAAAACCTGCTGGAAGCAGGTCAGTAGACCAACTGCAGGTCAAATGTACCTGTCAATTCATTCTAAATGATCTCAGAAGTGTCTCAAACTGATGCCTTCAACTGAGGCTGTATGGCATGGTTTTATGTTCAGGTCATGGAACTGGAGGTTATAAGGACCAATGCTAAAGGGCTTGACCTCGCACCCTGGGTCTGGTCTGTGACTTTGAAATGATACATGTGTGCTGCCATTGCTGGCCTTCTGAAAATCATAGTTGCATGGCTATCACACGGATCCTAATGCCAATAATGCTTTGTGTTACTGATGTGGAATGTACGTGATGTCAGATTGTAGGTAGACCTTCTGGGAATAGCTTGAGGCCTATAACTTTTTTTTTTTTTTTTTTTTTTTTTTAATATTG